TTGGCCTGTTAATAATTCATTATGGTTAGAAGAGAAGCTCACGAAACCCCACTCCTAGTGAAGAGATTTAGTTAATAGTTGCTGATGGAGGGTGAGTCTTTGGCAATGTAGGGGCGGGCAAGTTGTCGTCATTGCTCAATTAAATAGTCCCCCTTCCATGCTTATACAGGCAACTCAAATTAAATATAGTGCATGTCACACAGAGACATGAATATATAACTTTCTATTTCTCACACAAGACTGGCAAGACATGACAGGAGGAAGATGCTTAAAAAAAAAAGGAGCTTGTTAGGAGAGGAATGGGGCTAAGAGAGGAGAACAGAGTAAGGCAGTGAATATTATCAAAACACTTTATATATGTATAAAGTCATGAAAGAATAAAATAAATAATAATTTTGTAAGATACTAATAGCCATAACATAATTTGAAATTTCTTTTTTTAATTAAATTTTTTATATATTAATTACAGTTTATTCACTTCGTATCCCAGCTCGTTCCCTCTCAATCCCACCCTCCTTCCCTCATCTCCTCTCATGCCCCGCTCCAAGTCCACTGATAGGGGAGGTCCTCCTTCCCTTCCATCTGACCCTAACTTATCAGGTTTCATTGGGACTGGCTGCATTGCCCTTTTCTGTGGCCTGGCAAAGCTGCTCCCCGCTCAGGGGAAGGTGATCAAAGAGCCAGCCACTGATTTCATGTCAGAGACAGTCTCTGTTCCCATTACTAGGGAATCCACCTGGTGATTGAGCTGCCATGGGCTACATCTGTTCAGGGTTCTAGGTTATCTCTATGAGTGGTCTTTGGTTGGAGTATCAGTCTCAGAAAAAAAAAAAAAAACCCTATGCCCAGATATTTTGGTTCTTTTGCTCTCCTTGTAGAACTCCTGTCTTCTCCAGGTCTTACTATCTCCCCCTTCTTTCATATGATTCCCTGCACTCTGCCCAAGTAGATCTGAATATAAAAGATAAATGAACCACATAATAGGTTCATTTATAATAGGCCAGACAAATAAAGCTTAGAAGAGTAACACAGTTAACTTATATAGCTTATTTGCAGCAATACCATATGTTATAGTTAGAGATTTACAAATACTAGCTTCTTTAAGCATTTTAACAAGGTTTGTGCTAGTTGTTGTAATTATCTCTGCATCACAGATAGGCAAAGTGATGCCTACAGAGGTTAATTAATATGATTGACCTTCATTCCCAACTTCAGACACTTAACTTGAAACAGTTAAACTTGAGCACATTTGCTGGAGAATCTGGGTCATCAACCAAAATCAAGTGGAAATAGTCATATACTTGGGATGATAAAGTATTATGTCACATTATATCAAAGATACAAGTCATTCATCTTCGGAGTTTCATCCTACTTTAATAATAATGTTTTATGTCATTTAAGGAATCATTTAATCAGAATTATAATTTCAGAGAAGAGAATGAGGCTACAGAGTGACGTGAACCAGATTTTTCTGTTTCTCCTGAGATATCAGTATTACCAACTGCTTATCACTTTGTTCAGCCTACCATTCTTTCCTACTTTGGGGATGACTTGATTAGCCAAAACACTCTTACATGAATGATTCTAGTAGGCTCCAAGTGGTCTTCTGCAGCCCTACTTTAATTGCTGTTCTTCTGTTCAAAGTTTCTTTACAAACAAAAGCCTGTAAAGGAACTTTTATTCACTTGTTTCAATTGTTATTTTGGAAGATTACTGCCTCTGTCTGCTAATATAGGCTGAATCCTGCAAGCCTGTAGCTTCTATACCATCTAATCTAGGCCTAGAATGCTTTCAGCCTCTGAGACTTACTGCTTAATCGGTTCACCCTTTCCTGTTCTTTCTGAGCTCTGGGCTGGCTGGTTCAACTCAGCTGTTCTGGCACAAACTCCTCTCCCAGCTTATTCAATCTGGTTTCTCTCTCAGCTAAAGGAATTGCTCTGCTTGACCTCCAACAAACTCCAGCAATCTGCTCTAATTTCCTGGCTCCTTCTCATTATCTGCCTCATTTGGTCTTTACCTAGTTCTTTCTCTCCAACTTGTCTCTCTATTCCTGTCCATGTAAAACTGCCTCCCCCTCTCTCTACATTGCTCATTTAGTAGCTTCCCGTTCTTCCCTCTTCTCCTGAGAGTTGGGCATATCCTATTCTTTCAAACCTTTCTCTGATTCATTCATTTCTTTTTCTGCCACTCAATTAGACATCACTTTCAAATGTGGGTGTTTCATTTTACAAACTAACCTTACTATCATTGTTTGGGCTTAAAGGCGTATACCACCATTCTTGGATCTAAGCTTTTCTTTACCTGAAACTTGCTCTCTACCAGGCTGGTCTTGAACTCAGGTCTGCTTGCCTCTGTCTCCTAGATTAAAGGTGTGTTTGTATTCCAGCTGGATCACACAGACCTAGAAGATCTTTGGATTGATCCATTGCCAGAACAGCCATATTATGCATTAAAATTTCTCTACAAAAGCCTTTGTAGCAGTATTCACTCTCTTTTTAAATAACAATGACTTTCTCTCATGTTTTTACTCATGACTCTTTTCTTTGACAACTTAATACATTTATATAATTAATACACTGACTACTCTTATTGCCACACACTTTTGTCTCTATTATATTCCTGTCATATACTCTTTTTTCCATTCCCTTGTAACATTCATGTCTTTTTGGTTTGCTTTGTGTCTCACTCATTTTAACCGGAATTGTCTGTGTTACCACAAGTTTGGAAATTTCTACTAGATTACACGGTTGGATACACAACTGAAGACAATCACTCCCACTCTTTCAGAACTTATCAGTTGCCCATCGTTTAAAAGGGAGAGGTTGGAGCCCATGTGACATCCTCCTTCATCCATAATTGACTATTTATAGACCCAATCTTGTGAACGTGTCCAGACCATCGCAGACTCTGTGAGATCATATTTGCAATGACTGTGTCTTAGCATTATATCAACTCAACACTAGCTAGAGTTATCTCAGATGAGAAAACTTAAATTGAAAGAATGCCTTCATAAGATCAGGCTAGAGACAAGCCTGTAGGGAATTTCCTTAATTAGTTATTGATATGACGGGTCGTGGTAGTTTGAATGAGAATGGTCTCCATAGCTCATGTGTTTGAATGCCCAGTCCCCAGTTAGTGAAACTGTTTGGGAAAGATTAGGAAGTGTGGCCTTGTTCGAGATGGTGCATCACTGGGGAGGGGAGTCGGGTTGGGAGTGGGCTTTGAGGTTTGAAAAGTCCATGGCCCAGTCTCTCTCTCTCTCACTCACTTACTCACTCTCTCCTCTGCCAATTGGAAAGTAAAGCTCTCAGTTACTGCTTTATCATCATGATTGTCTGATTCCTGTCATGATGAAACTTCAAAGCTGAATGATTTATATTTATGAAATAATGTGATGTAATACTTTACATTCCCAAGTATATGACTACTGCCCTGGCTTCTCTCTGTGATGTGCTTACAAGCTGTACAGTGAAATAATGAACTCTTTCCTCTCCATGCTATTTTTGGTCATTGTATTTTACCACAGCAGTAGAAACCCTAAGACACCTACCTTCTTTGTTCTTTCACATACTGTGAACTTGGCCTTCACTGAATTTCTTATTGCTTTTCATTAAGAAGTTCTCATCTATTTTAAGCAATTTTTAAACTTCACGGGGTTCAATAATGGAGTAACAGTGTACCACTATGAATGACAAATGTAGTTATAAAAATCTGGAAAACAAGAACTGATAAGAATATTTGGTTTTCTTTTTTTTCATAATAATGTTTTCCAAGTTTAGAAGTAATTACTAGGATAATTAGTGCAATGATCTGTCATGTCTAAGCTTTTTATTTTCATTTTTATTTTTATTGATGCTGGGCTAGAACTTAGGTCCTCACACTTGTATGGCAAACATTGTCAAGACTGAGCCTTCTTTGCAGACCTTACTTGGATGGTTTATTACATAGATTTAGAGTCCTTGATAACAGGAATTAATCACTAAAGTCTTCTTGTGTGTGTTTATGACTGCTACCAACGTCATCCTTCCTAACGCACATTAGATTCCCTCAACACATATGATTATAAAAATAAGAACTATTCTCAATAAGTTTACATTTATAGACTGGCACTTAACATATACGCAGAAAGGAAAATACATGTTTTCTCAAAATCAACATATTGCCATAGATGAATTATTGTCTACATATTTAAGTGCTTATTATTTTTATTTCATTCATTAGATCTCTACAGTCACTGGCAGAGTGGTTTTAACTAAAAATGTTAGAGAAGAAGGAAGCAGTTGACTTGCCTCTATCAAACCCTCATTTTCTCATTTTTGTCATATTTAGTCTTGTTCCTCTTAGCATTTGTTTTGTTGCTTTCCTCTTGAAGTGTGTTTATTTATGTTTAACCTATGTTTTTTGATTTTAGTGACACACTAATAATTGTAAAACACACACACAGAAATACACACACACATACACACACACGCATCACTGAGCAAAGGCAAGAAAAGTACTAATGATATAAAAAAGCAATGGTTCCAGTAAATTGTTGAAATTAACTATTTCCCATAGTGGCTGGAAGTATTTCTTTCTTTAATGCTCTTTGGAAGTAGATCACAAATAAAAAGCCCAATTTTGTTTAGTAAATAGTATCACAGTACCATAACTAAGAGGTTTGTCTTTCTTAACTAAAAGTGAAAGATTTATAACTTACTGACATTGAAGTTTTGCCAAGATGGCCTCTAGAGACTCAGCTTAATGGGGTGGGAGGGAAGGAAACAGACTCCTATCTGCACTGATAAAGAGGATCGTGACTTCATTACTTCAGCTCTGACCTAGAAATTGAAATTTTATCCGCTTAACAAACAGAAGAAAAACACATTACACAACATCATTAACTGTTGTGAATGATGTTGGGGAGCTTAGTGAAAGTGCACTCTAGGTATGTTTATTGAAATGAAAGTGGTTGATCCAGAAACTATATTTAATTTATCCACTATGTTATTTTCTCCTAGGTAATCAGCTCTGATGTGGGGTCTACTGTGTCCTTCTGGATGATAGAAACTGGGCAGAAAATCAAACAGTTTGCTGGTTGCCATGGCAATGCAGAGATCAGCACCATGGCCTTGGATGCAAATAAGGCCCGGCTTTTGACTGGCAGCACAGATGGGACTGTAAAGGTATGACCAAATGAAGCTTTTTCTGCCCAGATCTCAAGAGGCACTAAGGGTGTGTGGGGAGGCACAGTGAAAACTTTGCTTGCTTTCACCTTTCTGGCTTAGCAGGAAGACAAGACCAGACGAGAGCTAAATAAACCAGCTAATAATGAAGCTGTTAGGATGATGAATAAATGATTTTTCTGAATAAATTATTTGTAAAAAGACACGGTTATCCATACTTATTTCAGAATGCCTTTTCTAGTGTGTGATTACTTTGGAGGATAAGAGGCCTGAATAATTTTCATATGCTTTCATACCTCAACAAACATCTCTAGATTTTTAAAAAATAGATTTATGAAATGAGGGCTAGGCAACAAAATAAAGGTTTTTAAATGGCAGTAATTTTTTTTTCAAAAAAAAAGATGCTTAAAAGTAAACATATTTAATAACTTGCATTTTGTCATATGAAAATAGTGAGCTGGGATAATAAAACTATAATCATACTCATATTTCTTTTCCATCCTAAACCAACAGAACCTTATTTCTTTAAGTTTTCTTTCTTTATTACTACCATTTATTTCTTCTGTGAGGAGGGAGGTACATTACTTTCCATCATGATCATAACTTCATGTAAAGCCATTAATTACATCCACTAGAAATTATAACTATCAGTGACACTTCTCAGCTCCATCCAAAGAGTGTGGTAATGTTGAACCGGAGATGGCTTGTGACACCGTGAAGTAACAGAAAGTAGTTTCTTGAATAAACTTTACATGATCTTCAAACCTGTCATAGCAGGGGACGGAAAGATGCTAGACTACCTCCCGTGACAGATCATGAGTGGACCACCAGCATGGGGTGCATAATACATTTGGTCATAGTGTAGAGGAGTCATAGGAAGCTTCTTGGATATGTAGAGACACTATCCAAAACTAGCAGTGAAAGCCTCGGCTGCTACATCAGCATGTGAAGGGAGCTAGTGTGGATTCCACATGAAAAACTCAAGGGACAACACATGCTGGAGAGGTTGTGGAGAAAGGGGAACCCTCCTCCACTGCTGGTGGGAATGTAAACTGGTACAACCACTCTGGAAATCTATCTGGCGCTTTCTAAGACAATTAGGAATAGTGCTTCTTCACGACCCAGCTATACCACTGCTAGGTATATACCCAAAGTTTGCTCAAGTACACAAAAGGGATACTTGCTCAACCATGTTTATAGCAGCTTTATTTGTAATAGCCAGAACCTGGAAACAACCCAGATGTCCATCAACGGAGGAATGGGTACAGAAATTGTGGTATTTTTACACAATGGAATACTACTGAGCAATCAAAAAGGAGGAAATCATGAAATTTGCAGGCAAATGGTGGAATCTAGAAAAGATCATCCTGAGTGAAATATCCCAGAAGGAGAAAGACAAACACGGTATATACTCACTTATATAGACCTATAAGATATATAATGAAATCTGTACACCTATAAAAGATAATCAAGAGAGTGGACATGGTGTAAGATGATCAATCCTCGTTTAGAATGACAGATGGGATGTGCATTGAACATATGACAGGAGTCTACTGAGCGCATTGGAAAGACTCTAACTAGCAGTGTTTTCAAAGCAAAGACTCATGACCAAACCTTTGGCAGAGTACAGGGAATCATAAGAAAGAAGGGGAGTTAGTCTGATGAGGAAAGGATAGGAGCTCCACAAGGACCAAATATATCTGGGCACAGGGTCTTTTCTGAGACTGACATGCAACCAAGGACCATGTATGAATGTAACCTAGAACCTCTGCTCAGATGTAGTCTGTGGTAGCTCAGTAACCAATTGTTTTCCCATAGTGAGGGGAACAAGGACTATTTCTAACAGGAACTCAAGACTGGCTCTTTGGCCTCCCCACCCCCCAAGGGAGGAGCAGTCCTGTTAGGCCACAGAGGAGAGCTTTGCAGCCAGTCCTGAAGATACCTGATAAAACAGGATCAGATGAATGGGGAGGAGGTCCCCCCTATCAGTGGACTTGGCAAGGGGCATGGTGGAGATGAGGGAGGGAGGGACTGGGAGGGAATGAGGGATCGGGACACGGCTGGAGTACAGAGTTAATAAAATGTAACTGATAAGAAAAAAATAAAATACAAAAAAAAAAAGAAAATCTTGGATGTCAATAGAATATTGGCTATGCAAGGCTACATCAATGACACATGACCTGGAGACTTTGGTATAGGAAAAAAAAAAAACCAAACACTGTACACAAGAGGTTTGGTACAGTGGGTGAGAGTCTCCGGTCACACTGGTCCAAACAGATGAGATGAAATAAAAGAGCAACAGCTGAAAGTGCAGTGTTAGCCAGGCAAAAGGAATCAGGCAGCGCCTCATTACCCACTCCTTGAGTGTGAAACTGAGGCAAAAATAAAGCAAGGGATTAAGGGCCACCTACCCCTTATGTAGAAGAAACTGGTTACAGAGTCTAGGGTAAGGCAGACCTTGTAGATATTGCAAAATGATCCATGATAAACACTGCATTGACCTTGGGATGGGCAGATCTTTTCAGTATTTTTTTGGTTTCTTTTTAAAATTAATTTATTTTTTATTAATTACAGTTTATTCACTTTGTATCTCAGCTGTAGCCCCCTCCCTCATCTCCTCCCTATGCCACTCTCTCTCCCTCAACTCCTCCCATGCACCTCCCCAAGTCTACTGATAGGGGAGATTCTCCTACCCTTCCCTCTGACCTTAGCTTATCAGATATCATCAGGACTGGCTGCATTGTCTTCCTCTGTGACCTGCTAAGGCTGCTCCCCACTCAGGGTGAGGTGATGAAAGAGCCAGCCACTGAGTTCATGTCAGAGACAGTTCCTGTTCCTCTTACTAGGCCATCCACTTGTAGACTGAGCTGCCATGGGCTACATCTGTGCAGGGGGCTAAGTTATCTCCATGTATGGTCCTTGGCTGGAGTAGCAGTCTCAGAAAAGACCCCTGCGCCCAGATTTTGGTTCCGTTGCTCTCCTTGTGAAGCTCCTGTCCTCTCCAGATCTTTCTATCTCTCACTTCTTTCATAAGATTCCCTGAACTCTGCCCAAAGTTTGGTTATGAGTCTCAGCATCTGTTTTGATACCCTGGTGGGTATCGTATTTCTTCAAGGAATCTTGTTAGCTGAGCAGAGTAAGAGTCATATTTAGAGGAAAGCAATGTAACAAGGATGAAGAATTTAGACAACCCTAGATTCTCTGAAGAAGCATGCACATTGTAGAAGTCACCATTTATTTCATTTTCTAGTGGATAAGGAGATGGGGCAACAGCAAAGAATTATTTCTGCTCTTTCAGAAAACCTGAGCTCAATTCCCATTACTCATATTGTACAGTTCACAAAGGTTTGAAACTCTAGCTCCAGGGAATCCTCTTTGGCCTCCATGGGTATCCATACACATGTTCACATGTGCTCTCAGAGACAATATACACATAACTTCATACTAAAATAAATCTGGAAATAGATTTAGAAGCATAATTACCGAATTTAAGATGTATTTTAAAATATTTTATATTTTTATAACAGTCACACAACATAATCTGAAGTCTAGTAATGTTTATATTAGATACATAAATAAAGATTCAACTTCTTTGAGCATAGTTTGTGAGGAAATAAAAATGAGTGATCGTTTGCAACCCCATTTATAATTTAAGATATCAGATCAGAAGCTGTGTGATCAAAGAATAGACATTATGTTCCATTTATCAGAGTTTTGAAGGTTCTGAAAGCTAATTAATCTTTGAAGTAATGTCTACACAGACTCTCTGTACCCAGCTGCTCCCCTGAGCATAGCAGTGTTGCTGGTTTCTAGACCATATTTCTAGCCTGGAAGAGCTTTTTGATACTAGATAACAGACCACTGTACATGCTGGTCTACAGTTTCACGGTTCTCTCCTAGATATTAGTTTATCTGAATATTCTACATAAATAATGATGCTCACTAATTTCTACAACATCTTTACCACACACACACACACACACACACACACAAACAAAACACAAGGTCAAATCTATATTTTACAACTGAGGACACTACAGCTCAAGCAGTTGAAGCAACTTAGTCAAAGAAAGGTTCCATAACTGTTAGAGTTTGAAATGAGTCTAGAAATATGCAGAGAATGCATCTCTTTTTGCATAATAGAAGGTGTTAGTGAATATGCAACAAGGACCATGCACATTATAAGCATATGCTTTAAATACTGAACGATGCCTGCAGAATGATGCATCTCCTGGTGCTTATATCATATGATACAACTCAGGTCTCCTGTTAATAAGGATTAATTTGATTCAAAATTTTAGGGTTTATAAACAGTACTACAAGGCATGCCTAAACACATGCTGCTTCTCACAGAATGACTGTATCTGTGATATATTTTTCAGATGTTGAACTTTGAAATCAAATAACGTACAGATTTTAATTTTGATACGCAGTGCCAACTCAACCTCTGCATGATATTTGTCAAAAATGTTTCATCTGAGAGCTCTGTTCTGATTGCCAGTGACCACGTGGTAGTGTATGTATGGGCCCTGTCAATATCCCATTGCCTGAGTAAAGAGAGCAGAACCACTGTTAGATACTCTTTAAGAATGGACATGGCAACCTGTGTCCCCAGGAAGTTTAATTAGCAAAAGACAGGAGACTCAGCAGGGAATGAATATGTTTCCAGTCCTGAATCAGACATTCAATCTTTTAGTCATCCTTGAGAAGTAAAGTTTCTATATTATAAGGAAAGACAAACAAATAACCAAGATATCAACAGATCCTAAAATATTCAATTCAATGGCACACTGGTGGTCATTAAAAAATTATGGACTTTTTTTTTTCCCCCACAGAAGCAATCGTGTGGTGGATTTTCCAACAGTTACCAATTGGGTGTTCTCAATTCAGTTTCTAAACTACACAGCAATTAGGTTAGAATTTCAGACTGAGAGCTCAGTCCCAGTTGACTGCTTTACAATTGGGATGACAGTTTTAAGGACAGACTGTGACCTGTGCCC